GGAGAAAAAAAATCCAGGTGAGGGTCAGTGGAATTACAGGCCTGGAGCTGCAACTCATTGAATATTTATGCAGGCAATATTTTTTTTTGCATCGTCGATGCCTTTCAAGATAGCATTCTTACGTTTTCTTCAGTTGAAAGAGACCGATAAGTTGTGCAAAAAAGACCAAATAATAACTTTTAAAGCCATATGTAAAAGCATTCATTTAAATGCTGTTGTCATATCATGTCCCACACAGCAGAAAGTGTATCAAGCCTCAAAGATATTGCAAATAACCTCCCAGGGGATGTTTGTTAGTAAAATGGTAGGAAGCCACGTGTTTTGGGTGTGGATGGAGACTTTTGTCTGTCTCTTTCCTCAGACTCATCACCAAGCACACCAGACTTTACATCTGAAGAAAATACCATCACTACCACTGTCAATACTGAAACACCAAGACAACAAGGTTGTTCAGTGTTATATTAGTTAAATGTTCAGTCATAAATGGATTGTTTAAAGTGCCAAATTCACTGGTTTCTGTGACACACCCCACAACACAAAAGGGTTAGGGTTAGGGTTAGGGTTAGGGTCTTGGTGAGTTGGACTTTGGACCAATAACCTTTTCTTAGTGGATGCACTTCCTCTGGAGCTAAAGCTGAGCATCACTTACCATTATTGGTAGAAAAAAATGCCTTTACTCAGCCTGGTTCGCAAACTTTAAATCAATAAAACAAGAATGACTCTTGCTCTACAGTTCACATGTAGAATGCATGAAGCCAGTGTTTCACTTTTTGTGTAGAACATTTCATAGATGAGGATAAGACGATTTTCTTCTTCTTCAATCCAGGTTTACTTTTGACAGGTATGACAGATTCTGTTTTTAAATTCAAGAATATAAGAGTTTCAAAATGTCTGCATACACTTCAAAATACTCTTTTATCAAAGAGGAAGCCTGACGCCTCCTGCTTGTTGTCAAATTGTTCTCTGTTACACTGTCTGCCAGCGGTGCCTTTAACCCCGTAATGGCACGTGTAAAACGTGCTTATTTGAAACATACAGTTTCTGAAAATATTGTATCTGAATCCTTTGGCATAATTTAATGGTAAAACTTCGCTCAAAACCCTTTTGTACACATTTAAACATACCTTACAACAGCCAGCATCCACAATAATTCGAATTAATCGCATGGTAATAAATGATAAACATTAAAAAATTATTTCTGTTTATTTTTTCAGATTTTGTTGAAGGACCAAGACTTTCAAGAAACAAACAAAGAAAGGACCTCCATTTTTCTTGGATCAGACTTTAAAGGGTTAATGTAATTGATTTCCAATACAACAATGCAAACATGACATTGAGCCCATTCATCATCAGACATCAAAATGTTTCTATTTCCAGGTAAAACATTTACCTGTTAAATAAATCCAACATCCTCACGATTGCAGTAAAACATTTACATTTCCATGCCAGCTGCAGAGGGGTATTCAACAGGCTGATGTTAGTCCTATTTAACGCATTTGTTTCACATCACATATTTGCCTAAAATGAGCTCTTGTGAGTTAGTTAATCCTTCCACATTCGGTCACATTGGCCCAAAAGTGTCTTTCACTGTGATCTTGTCCACCAGGTCTGACTTCCTGTTGACCACACACACACACACAACAGGATCTATAAATATGGTTGGACTGATTGGATCAAATTCAGACTCTAAACGTAGAGACTTTGACATCTACCCATTCCTGAGCACTTTTTGTTCCAATATCTATCCATTTTTGGGTCTCGTGTTCTTCTCCAGAACATCCTGCCAGCCCAAAAGTGAACAGTCTTACATATTTTGGCCTTGATAATTTCAACTGAATACATTGTTGTTATAGAACAGAAAAGTGAAAATGATTCATTCTGAATTACATATCAGAGCAGACCAGCAGGGCCTGGATAACATCTCAGATGAACATTTCACATTCTGCAATGTAACGTTTACAGAACCTGAGAAGAAATGTAGAAAGGTTAATTGTTACTTGTCCTTTTTGTCTTCCTGCTCTAGCAATGATTTGACTCTTATTATTGCTAGAATTATCATTATAATAGCAATTTAATGAGCGTTTTTTCTCACATTTCAGTATATTGCGTCCTTTTTAATACATGAAACCAATAGTCTGGAACATTCACGATTAATTAATCTTAGTCTTATGATGTTAATCAATTTGTTATTATAACTAAACCCTTATTGCCGTTTTCAAAATAGTGATTATGAAAATAAACTAATTACATTTGTCCCTCTCATTGTTATTACCATTAGTTATCTGAATTGAGTAAACATACATCTTGAAAACAAGTAATTTGTTCTAATAAACATGTAATGTAACAGCCCCGGGAGTGTAATTATTCACCTTTATCTGCCTTTCGTCTGATGACTTTGGTTCTTTATTCTTTGTTACATTAAAAAAAAAGGAAAACACAATTAAAACTAAATTAAATTAGGGTTTTAACATCCCGCCTTGAACCTTACAGATCCCAGCAGTTTCCCAGAGATGTGGATAACTTTGTGTGTGGGGGGTTTACATTAAACTTTGAGCTTTATATTTTTACCACAGGTTCTACTGCAACCTATCAGCAAAAACCAACTTATGACTCCTCTTTAAAACTTTCCCTACATGATTTCCATATGTGTGATAGCAGTCGGTCCATAGCTGGTTTTATCTGTGTAAACTTCACCTTAAGGGGATAGCCCACTCGACTCTGAGGTTTGTCTTGGCACCCAGTGTTTCCCCCTGAAACACAGACAGGGCAGGGAAATAATATTTCACCATGCATAATTCATGTTGTGGCTGACTTTTAACGAGGTGCTAAAAAAATCCCGACATGTGACCCACTCAGCACTTGATACCGGAACATAAATTCTTAATACTTTTTTTATGACCTGTGCCTGGTTGAGGTGTTTATGTAGAATATAAATCCTCATTTGTTACTTAGTGACATAACATTGTAGCTCCTCATCTCATGTAACACTTATAAACATTTGCTCTCGGGTCTTTTTTTTTGGTCATGACACAAGATAGACACGGCCTTACTTCAACAGGCTGCCTATTAGCGTTTAAATAGACTGAGCAAATCCATCCAAGGTATCCACTTTATTCTTTCATTTGACACTATTTATCCGAGTGCACGGTGAATCTGTGTCTCAATGCATTTTAATGCACTTCTGTTCTACCAGCCTCTCTTTGTGTTGCAATACTATCATCACATCTCAGGCTGGCTGGAAATATGTTGTCTTTCAGACTGTTATTCTTTAACTTGGAGGAGCTTGTGTGGGTGTCCTTTCTCAATAGAGTCATAAAAAGGTTGTTCGCCGCTTGCATTTCTCGCCACGCCATCTGTCTGTGAGTAACGAGACAGTGCTGTCTGAGCTTATGACAAGTGGGCGGAGGGTCGGGAATAAAGCGTCCACGCTTTTGAATCACGAAAACCATTCCATCTGCATCGTTCTCAACTTCCTCTGTTGGTTTCTTTTTTTTTCTTTCATCTCAAAATGAGACTGTGTGCTTCACAAGGTGAGATGGATATTTTGACAGTGGTGTTGTGGCTTTGTTCTTTTGCAGAGCTTTAAGTGTCCACCGTTGACATGGGTAAAAGGTCATTTTTTAAGATTAAACTTGCCACAGCATTGTCTGGACAGCCGGGATTATTCATTAGGACATTTGTAAGTAGATGAGGCAGACCATGGCCGGACACTGGGATAAGAACCCCAACTGGGAGCCAAAACCTTAAAACCTGCAATCATGGAATCCCAAACATCTGTGATGAAAATAGTTTTTAAATTGCATTACATCACAGCCATGAATTTGGTTGAAACTAATCCACACATCAATGCATGCATGAGTCTTTTGATTTTGGATCCAGAAACAGATCTACTGGTAGTTTGTGAGATGCAAAGTCTGGTCGGATAACTCTTCAGGCCACTATGTCACTTCGAAAATTCCACATAGTCACGGGTGATTCACTTTGAAAACTAGATACAAAACAAGGCTGCTGCAAACAAGACGAGCTGACAGTGATCAGAGAGGTTTTGGGACAAGATGGTGGAGAATCGTGTCATGATGTCACAGGGTGAGCGTCTTTTAACAAATGCAATAGAAGAAACACTACTGAAGTTTGAGTTTTCATAAGTTTAAGCCATTTTTGTTTCAGATATTGTTGGTTAGTCTTTCCCCAATTTAGTCTTTCCTCCACCGGGTGCCTGTGTGTCACAGTGTAGAATAAAAGTCTCCGTTTTAGCTCATGGATGTAGGAAAGGGATGTTCCACCCTACCTGTCTGTGGACCCCTCCCCCCCCCCCCTCCCTAAGACCCCGGTGATCCCAGAGACGAGGCTCCAGCTCAGAGGGGATCAGGCCTTTTCTGCGGCAGATCATAAACTCTAAAACAATTTGCTGCTAAATGTGAGAAAAGAGTCCTCCGTACCTGTTTTCATCTCTTTTGGAAGCTCATGTTTTTTGCTGGCTTTTTTCTAATGTACGATGGTTTTGCTTTACTGTGTGTATTTTTGTGTATGTTTGTAGGTACAAACATTCATGCACACTCATTTTTACATTTTTTTTTTATTGTGGATTTGATTTGTATTGTAGATTTGATCTTTTCTTTTTTATCATCTAGTTTGTTTTTGGTCACAGGTCTTTGTTTTAAGCGTGTTTGATTATATTGGACTAGATTAGAGATAGTTTAATTTAATTTAGGAAACTTGATCAGATACAAAGAAAGATCCTGTTATATTAATGGAAATACATTACATAAGCAAAGAGCTTCATCTCATGAACACATTAAACGGAACAAGGAAAAAGATTCGACCAACAAACAGAACGCCACCATCAGTCAGTTTATATATTATGTATCATTATCTGAATTCTATTGATCTGGCTGTTTAAACAAACTTTGTCATCTAAATTGCTAGTTTTCCTAGAAATCCCCATTATTTCACAACCTGTTGGGAAGCCAGAAAAAAAAAAAATCACATTTTGAGTGCAGAGGGTGAAATCTGGCTTGGACTTAGATAAAGTGTTGTGGTTAGACCTCCCTGCAAACCATTCCAGTGCTTTTCTGTCTTTTGGACAGAATAGTTTGTGAAACCGTGGCCTTTCCTGACTGTGTGCAAACATGTAGATGGATCACCGTCTTCTGTGAAGGCCTGATAACTAAAACAATATGATCCGACTAGCTAGCAGCAGTAGCCTTATGAAAGCTGAAGATCCAAGAAAACCTTATAATCCTTGAGCAAACATACCTGACATAAAATACAGTTCATATACATATATATAGATAGATATAGATGTATAGATATACATGTATGCATACACACATATATATCTATATCTTAATAGATATGTGGATAAATACATACATACATACATACATACATACATACATACATACATACATACATACATACATACATACATACATACATACATACATACATACATACATACATACAGTGGGGGAAATAAGTATTTGACCCCTTGCTGATTTTGCAGGTTTGCCCACTTACAAAGAATGCTTATTTTTCCTCATCAGATGGTTATCAATTTTTTATTAATTCATATGATGTGATTTTCTGGAATTTTCTTTGGGATTCTGTCTTTCACTGTTAGAATGTACATATGATTAAAGTTATAGATCGTTGCATTCTTTGTAAGTGGGCAAACCGGCAAAATCAGCAAGGGGTCAAATACTTATTTCCCCCACTGTATATATATATATATATATTTACTGTATTTTTCTGTCAGGAATACTGGCAGAGAGCCTGTCCTTTTTGTAAATCAGCAACATCAGAGGGACACATATGGGGTTTAAATTTACTGTATTGCTCACAAAACCTTTGACAGAGGTGACGATTTTCATATTAATGTCACACCCATTGAAACAGTTAACAGCAAAAGAAATGCAATGCACTTTGACTGGAGATCAGAAATAAATTAGCACTTTGTCATTTTATTTATGTAATGTTACTTATGGCACCTGAGGCCATCCACTCACACTTGAAGCCACGTTTGAGTTCCACTATGACATTGCAGCTATTTGAAGGAAGATTTACACATGGGAGTTCTTTTTTTCACTCGAATATTTCTGGAACGGTCTTTTATGAGCTGCTGTCTGTCTGTCAGCACACAGCCCCTGAGCTGAGTGAGTGGCAGCTGTGAAGGAAACAGGTGTTAGTGTGAGAGAGTAAATAGGCCATTGTGGAGGGACTGGAACTGTGTCCGTGCCATAATTGTGGGGTTTCAGGTATATGTGGACATGGTCTGCTTAACTCACCACTCTTTTCCTGTGTCCTCTCCTGGATGGTCAGGCAAACGCTTCCCTTGGGGGTCCCAATACCAATTAAGGGTTGCACAAGAGACAATAGGATAAAAGTGTCGGGTGGAAAAGTTGGATTAGGTTACTGACTGCTAGTTTAGGTATTTAGGAAAAGGGTTTTCTTTAGGGTTAGAACCTGTAAATACACCTTTGTAAATACACTTATTTTTTAACCGTGTTATTTCATGGAGGAGTTAGCATGTTTTACTTTGCATGAGCAGGCATAGAACATGGATGTGTGGATAAATAGTGAAAATGTTGATGTTATAGCATAACAGAGCCATAGAGCTTCAGGGGCCAGTGCCATTCGTTTCCATGTCTGTGGACAAAAACGTGATATTCAGACTTAGCCAACATGGTGAATGGCACATTACCACTGAGGGTGATACAGATTTCAGTAATCACCAATCAGGACATCAACTGTTAACAGTTAACATGGACATTTTTAGCTGCAACACACTTGGATGAATCCAACCTGTTTAATTGTATTTAAGAGCTCCAGGTTATTTAATTCAAACAGGAAGGGACGTAACTCATTAGCTAAACAGCGTCTCTCCTGTCCCTGAGCCATCGCAGCTGAACATAACAACCCCAATCTTCTTTCTATTAGGAAGAGTCACCGTGCACACTTATCCAGAGCAACTAAAGCAATGCATTACACCTTCTCATTATATATTAACAGCATAATACGTTTAGTCAGTAACTCAAGCTTTTGGATTCAGTTTTTGGTCGAGTTGACTTGATCAGATATCCATAATAAATCTGGTTTTAACACCAAAGTGAAAATCAGGATGGCTTTTTAATATAAGATAAAAAACACATCTGTACCTGCGTTTGTCAGATTTTATTTGTACAATATATCACGACGGCAAAAACAAAATAAATCACCGGCTGGCTGCAGCGAGAGCTTTGCCCACAGAAAGGAAAAAGGACGAATCAATGAGATATAAAGTTGGAGAAGAAATCAGTCCGGGATGTGTTTGTAAAGGCATGAATGTGGCTCTAAACAGGGCTTCCTGGCGGCTTGTCGAGGTACATGACAAGTCTCCTCCTCGTGACCTTTGTTGCATGTCATCCCTTTCCCTCTGTCACTCCCCGCCGTCGCTGCCCAGCGGAGCAGAAATGCCACCAGAAATAATCTCAAAAACAACAGAGAATTACCCGTGACCGGCCGCCGAAGTGCTTCAGAAAAACCCCTTCCTCTCAATCTTCGGCTGTTTTTTTTTTTTTCCCCCGCGCGCTCTGAAGGCAGTCGATAAAAATTTGTGACAACAACTGGAAACGGCTGTCGCATTGTTCAAATTAGCGGGTCGGCTATCTGATTTCCTGGCGGACGCAGTCATGGGAAGTCTTGGCATATTAATTGGGATGAGTAAGATGACTTTCAGAGTCATTAGAGGGGCGTCTGCCTGCTTAGTGTGATGACATATCAAGGAGGCCCTGTGGTCACACAGAGAGTGAGACGGCCTCTCCACAAATGATCAATATTCTGAGTGGATGATGGTTGTCACATAATCTCTGTCTGGCAGCTTGTAGTAGAAGTGATGAAGGACCTTGAGTGCAGTGAGTTCAAAATGAGCGGATCATAGGTTTGTTCTAAATAAAAGCATGACAGAAATATGTAATTACTAAGCTGCCGTTAGCTATAACGGCGGGGTCCCGACTCCTGACGGAGCTATCTGCGTTTGTCAGGCTCACTACGCCCAGTCTGAAAGCATCATGCTAGGCAAACTGGAACTTAATCGCTGGAATCATGTGATTAGCTATACTCATTATCGGAGGTGCATTTTTTTTCTATTTTTCCCATCCATTTAAAGAGACACACTTTTTCATTTAAAATGTTTTCTTTACCAAAACATTTCAGTATGATCACAAATCAGAAAGAGTAATTAAAACAATTACAATAATAGCATGTTCTGTATATGTTATCAACAAAAAATAAAGAAAATGCAAAAGGAAAAGTAGGCAATTGAATGAAATACTATTGAAATATTCCACAAATAGACACAAATGACAGCCGACTGCTACATTCTGTTTTTTGCTGTCTGTAACATTTGATATTGATATTTTTTACACTGCTTTTTCCTGCATCTTGCCGTGTGTTATAGTCTGTTTCCATTTTATGTCTTATAAAGCAGCAAAATTAAAGAATGGTGTAATGTCATTTGGTAACATTTATTCCATTTATTTATGTCAACAGATATGATTTCCTGTTTGGTTGTGATACTGAACACAAAAATAATTCCACAGAACGTCACAACGTTTAGTCAGACGGCCACATTTAGACTCTTCCTTATTTAATATTCCACAAATGGTGAGAAGTCAGATATTGAAATACTGAGAGGTCAAAGGGCTGGAGAACTATACCACCCAGCTCAGTCTCACTACTCTCACTACTGTTTTTTTCTCATTACTCTTCAACTGAGAACAATCAGCTTGATCAAAGCTGAGAAATAGAACCAACATGGCCGGGCTTAGGTATTAAACATGACGTGGCCATCAGTGTTTGATGTCAAAACGTGCTTGCTTTAGCGTTAGCTCTTAAAAACAACATGGATAACGTCTGCACTGGCTTTGCCACATATGCTGCAGTAATTCTGGTCTAGTGCTAACATCCAACCACAACCACAGGCAGAAAGATGAAAGATGAAAGTCCATCCATAGCCTACATTCTTAACTACAGTAACACTACAAAAAACATCTAACATATTGCTTCAATGACAAAATAATGTGTTTCCATCAGCCTTGTTTGTCTGTGAAAAGTAAGACATGAAGTGGCATGTTTAAACTGCTCGCTCATTTAAGGAGTGGGAATTTTTAGAAATCAGATGATCCAAAATTTATCCTGCTTGACTTTTTTTTTAAGGCAATTTACAGATTAAGTCAGATTAAGAAAAAAAAAAACTTTCCTCCTGGGGCTTGTGTGTGATGTGTGTTAATATATTCTGGTGCATTATTATAGGAGTGTGGCCGAATTAGAAAAATTAAAATAAAATAATGCATGAGAAAATGGGAAGAGGAATTGATAAGTATAAAAGGAAAAAATAATTAAGTGGAGAAATATAAGAGCAAATAATAGAAAAGCCAACATAGAAATATCTTCATATAATTTATAACTGGAAATATCTTAATTACACATCTTTATATGATTAATGGTTTTGTCTTTTATTTTCCACCTTTTAAAAATCGTTTTCTATGTGAATAGTACTTATACTTTTGCTTTTGTTAAATAAAAACTTTTCTATATTACTTTGGCTGTCTTTTGTGTGATATTTACAATTTTATGCATTTGCTTATTGTTGTTTCTTAAGAAGATCTTTTGTCTTTAAAGTTTCTAAATTAATTATTCATTTTCCAGGACCAGAGGGTTCTGGGTTGGAGTCCCGGGGGAACCAGGACCTTTCTGGGTGGTTCTGCATGTTCTCCTGTGTCTGTGGGTTCTCTCCGGGTTCTCCGGCTTCCTCCCACTGTCCAAAAACCTGCATGTTAGGTTTTTGGACTCCAAACTGCCCTTAGTGTGAGTGTGTGTGGTTGTTGGTCCTTGTGTGTCTCTGTGTGGCCCTGTGATGGACTGGGTGTACCCCGCCTTTCATTGACCACTGGGATAGGCCCCGCCCCCCTGCGATCCTATTAGGGAATGAGCGGTTACGATAAGGGATGAATGGATTTTCATTCATCTCAATTTTGCTTTTCCCTTCTTTCTGAAAAAAGGATTACCTTTTGTCAGGTAATACAGTTGCAACTAGATAGATTTAGTATAAAAGCAAATGAAAACAAATACTAGCTCACTACTTCCCCTATCTTTTTTGTGCCTGTCCGAGTAAGAAAACTCTGCATACAGGCATAATATGGACAGCCTTACAACCCTAACCCTAATCTTTATTTGGCTTCACGCATGATGTAGCCAGGAGCTAAACGGAAACCCACAGGTAAACTGAAACACAAATGGGAAAAAAAAGAGCAAAATGGAAACTGTCATTTTCAAAATCAATTTGAGAAATAAGAAAAAACGAAAAAGTGACTCATTCTGAAGTGAAAAGAAATATTACTCAAGTAGTAATAGTATGAGCTATGAACACAAAAACAATAGGGAAAAACACACAATGACTGCATTTCTCTTAAAATTTCACAAGGTTAATTTTATTTTCTGATTCTCTAAAAGATTATTTCTGTTTTTGACATTCCTGGCATTCCTACTCTGCCATCTGCTTAAATTGGAATGATGACATAGCAAGAAAATGGCCTAACAGAATCACCACGTGAGGCTCGTTTCAGATGCTCCCTTCAGAAACCGTTCAGTCTTCCTTTTCCAAAGCGAGTCATCTAAATTTCATGTCAGGTTTCGGTTTGAAAGTAATCATGTATGGAAGTTCAATAATAAAAATCATGCATGATTCCTGATAATGTTGAATTTGCAGAGATGGCCCGTGTAGCCCAGATGGAACCGGACACCTGACAGTCTACTGTCTTTCTCCATCCACGCACAGTTCCCGCTGGTCAGACATCTGTCCTAATGAGGATGAAGATGTCCCGTCAAACGGGAGGCTAATGGCCGTGGACAGATGGAAGACATCTCCTTTCAGCCTGCATCCGGGTGCACGCTTACACGGGCCGGGCTTGTTGATAGATAAAGGTTACAGGACAAAGCAGGAGAGAGTTATGTGTCACTGTTAAGCAGAGGTGGGGACTCGAGTCACATGACTTGGACTCGAGTCGTTAAAATCACGACTTGAGACTTGACTTGAAAAAATGCTCAAAGAGTCGGACTTGAATTTGACTTTCATGCCATTGACTTCGGACTTGACTCCACTTGAAGCTGTTTACTTGAAAAGACTTGATATTTTTTACTCAAAGTCTTAAAATTTAAAACACATTATTTATAAAGTGGCGTCATTAATTAATTTCACTCATTCCGTATCAATATGCACAGACCGTCTCTATGTTTTTCCTCTCTCCTTATGGATGGATGTGTCAAATTAACAGGATTTGGACGTTTAAAAAAACGCGGCGAAGCTACAGAGCTCAGGGAACGAAATACGAAATAACCGCTCGAATTTGCTTCCGCGAGTGATTTCTTTTGGCTACGTAAGTTATGAAATTTCGACTAAAAAACTAACTGCAACTTGTAAAACATGCAAAGAGAGAATATCGGATGGAGATGCCACGACGTCCAACTTTCTCCGGCATTTGAAGCTTCACAAAGATCGGTAGGTGGCGCTTTTCCTTTGCTGTAAGAGAGTTGACTTTAGCTAACTTCGTGTTAGCATGTGTACTCCCGGTTAAATTGGTGATGATTTACCATAAATCCGGTCCTTCAGATGCCTCCACAAATAATTTGCACCATGTTAGCCAGTAAGCCTCAGTAAGTCGAGTCGTTAAAATCACGACTTGAGACTTGACTCGACTTTACCCGTCTTTACTTGAGACTTGACTCGACTTTACCTGTCTTTACTTGAGACTTGACTCGGACTTGAGGACAGAGACTTGAGACTTACTTGAGACTTGCAACACAGTGACTTGGTCACACCTCTGCTGTTAAGCATCCAAACTTTAACAAATCAGGCAGCCTGGATGGGGCTGCAGTCTGATGAGAGTGTGTGAGTAAGAGGGAAAATGAGGGTGGGCCTAACACACAGCCACATGCACCCAAAGCCCCCGGCAGTGTGACTCTGAGTAAAAATAGCAGCTAACAATCCAATAGTTGTTATTTATGAAGCATGTCAATGCCCAGACGGTGAGAATGCGCCAGCTGAGGCCTGATTGGTGGGCTTTCAGCTGGACAATAAGTACAGCCTCGCTGAGAGATTGACACTTTCCCCGCCACCACAAACCCATCATCTCAGCCGTTAAAGGCTTTTTAAGGCGGCAAACAGACTCCACAGCTCCGCCTGAACCCACGGAAGGTGAGGTTTTATGTTCTGGTGTTTGTGTATCAACCGTGTGCCTAAAATAGTAGAGAAGCTTTATCATTAGTGCATTTTTTAATTATTCTTTTCAAAATGGTAGGAATTTTTTTATAACATATATATAATTTTCAAATAAAAGTACAAAAAAAATAAAATAAATAAAAAATAAATAAATAACAAATAAATAAATAAATAAATAAAAACATATAACAAAAACATATATATACATATATATATTTGCAGGCATAAATTAGGCCCTTAAAATGTTGATATGATGTGTGCACGTATGAGGGTTTTTTTAGGTATATGCAGAGATTAGACTTTTTTACATTTTTAATTCTGTTTATATGTTGCCCGTTCTGCAGCACAACTATGTCAGTCAACTTCCTTATATGTAAAAAATACTTGGTAAATAAGCCTGATTCTGAATCTGAGATGTTCTTTAACACAAGCATCAGATTGGAATTCGGAATCAGTACAAATCCAACTTGAATTTTTCTTTTATCCGGTGAATGCCCATTCTGGATGGTAACATTGTTGGTTATTAAATGTCAGTGCATTATCACGACTGCTGTCTGGCACAGCCAAAGATTATCTAGTTTATGATTGATTGATTTCAGAATCAGAATCTGAATCAGAAATACTTTAATAATTCCAGAGGGAAATTATTTGAGTTCAGTACTAAGTAAGGGTCAGGATGCATTAATACCATATATTCATTTATTGTAATTATAATTTAAACAATTAATCATACGTAACACCAAAGATGACAAAACCTTGACGTCACTAAAAGACAATCATAAGTAACACAGCAAAGACAAAACATCACCAGTGTGCTAAAACCTTACTAGCAGTGGCCCCGACTATTGGTTCAGTTTATTTTTTGGAGAGGTAGATCAACTGGAGGATGAACACTCTGATGTAAGGATGTCCATAAAGACAGCACAGATTTTCACAGACACGTTGAACCTGTGTTTTATTCCAATCTGTCTGTAATTGGTTGTTGTTCCTGTTCCTGAAACATCCGTGCCCAACAGCCCTATTGACTAAAACCGGGGGTGATTAAATGTTTTGAGGGACTGATCAATACCATCATCACTCCTCCCTAACTACAACACGAGCCCGCTGTAGCTGGCACACTGCTTATACCAGACAGACTGGGTCTGTGGAGGAGCAGAATAAGTCTGAGATGGTTTTCCTCCTTGGAAAAGAGATGGAGGCTGTTTACGCTCGACACAAACCCGATCCAGCACAGTCTGGGCCACAACGTTCTGATCTGGACAGCTTCTCTGGAGATACTCAGTTTCGGTTCGGATTCGATTTAGCCTCGTAATGTAGCCACTGTCCTTGTATGCATGTTTCAGACAGTCGATGCTGTGAACTGTGTGAAAATAACGGCAAAATCTTCAAGTTATTTGGGCGATGAATTTGCAGACGGGCAGCCTTAACATCCTTCCATTTGCCGTGACTAGACATTCAATCTAAATGCTGTTTCTCTGTGATATTCTTAACAGTCTCACTGAAAAGAAGAAAAATTGAAATAGAGCAGATTTGTTTGCTCTTAGCTCTGTAACAAAGTATTTACTGCTAACTGCTTCAGATTGTTGAAAAGTTCCAGTTTGGAAGACTAAGTGTCTAATTCCATTTGAGTCTGGATAAATGGATTAGAAAATCTCATCAATTTGATCAGATAAACACGTTTTACAAATATTGCCTTGGGGTAAACACTTCCCTTTTTCTTTTTTCTCTGCGCCTGTTTTTTAGATACTTCACAGAAAAAACAGCAGGCTCAAAGAAGTTAGACAGCGTCTAAAAAAGTAGTGAAACTCTAAGGTTCCCAACAGTCTTTGACAGTCCTAAACAGATATAACTGAAAGACCACTACACCAAATTCTATAGAACTTTAACAGGCAAAATGTAGTTATGTGACAGGGCTATCATTTTACCACAAAGACCTATTTTACATCTTTCCACAGATAAATAATCTGTAAATATTCAACTGAGAATCTCCTGCATGCAAAACAATGTTAACTTATAGTCAGAACTAAGGAAATAGACAATAGATTAGAAACACCACAACTTACATTTCTGTTCAATATCAAGTCTTCCTCAGAATTTCTTTTGATTTCATATGCTTTGTATTCTGTGAACTACCTTTTCCTTAAGGCTTTTATATTTTGAAGATGAAATACAATTTCCCACTTGGCATGTAGTTTCTGTCCAGTGAAGAGAAGGAACTGAATTTGAATAACCAAAAGAGAAAAAGCAGCGGCTGTCGGGGGTTTTTGATTTCACATCCAGGTCTTCAGCGGGAAGTCACCTTTGCTGTGTGTTCATGTGTTTTTTCTTTTGTTTGAAGAGACACCAGCAGTGGGCCTAAGGTTGATTCTTCACAATGGTTAAGTAAATAAGAACCTTTTAGTATCAGTTAGGATGAAAATGGAAAGGCACAACAGGAACACATGAAAACCTGCAATACTGTGAAACAATGAAAACAGAAATAAAATGCTGCCTGGATACTGACAAACTCATCACATTCCGACAACCAAAGAGAAGAAATTGTTTTTAAAACGGGTGTAGAGCTTTCAAATCAATTAAAACTTCATATTACAGAGCATATATAACAGTGAGTGACAGATTTAATTTGAACTGAAACCTAGTAGTGGGATGATGTTTAAGAAATGAGTCCGTCGGGGGCTTTTCACTGTTTGTTTTCAATCAAATTGCTTACAGTGTCATATATTGTTAAGTTTGTCCATTTTCAGGTTCAGCTTTGAACTGCTCTGTCACCAGTGTGTGACAAACATTCATCTGGGCTTGTTATTAAAAGATCCTTGGTTTTTATGCCTCTGTGACCCATTATATAAATATTCCAACCACTTATACTTGGTATAAGTGGTTGGAATGATCTATGTTACAGACTATTAGTTGTGAATGTCTGCGTCTGTCTCATATAAACTGCTCCTGCACCTCTAAAAGCTTGCTGGAAACCCTTTATCTTCATCTGTCTGGACCTGAGCTGAACTCATGCCCCGCCCTTCTCTGGCTGAATACAGGTGGGGGGGGTCTACCAACCTGGAGACAGCAGACTCTAGGTGGGGATGATCAAATTATTAGTTGAGGGATGTACACTCAGCAATGAGCACTGGGAGGGTGGCTGGATAAAGACACTCCAGGAAAAAGTTTGTTCCAAAGAGAAGGAGCGGGTGAGTGTGGTGATATTATAGATGGATATATTAATTTATGGTAAATCCAGATTGAAATGATAAAAATGTTCTGAAATGTTAAAAGGATTCATTTAAAATCTGTGTTTAAGAAAAAATAAATAAGTACCACAATGTAAAAATTATCACTGAATAATACTTTAAATATATTTCAATTTTAGGTGCTTAAATCTTATGATATATTGATTTTCAAGGATAATTTGTAGTTCTTTACAGGGTGTTAATCATTGTTTTTCTGTGTGTTTGTTTAAAGGTTTTTCCCCTATTGTTCATTTAACAACTTTCAAATAAAAGGGAATAAAAAATAATTGTTGGTTTTTGAGTGAAATCCTCGGAAATCTTTTAAAGCGAGCTACCTTTTCAAGTTGGGGAAAACCTGCAGTTTGAATCGCAAACAAAAAAGTGGGAACCACTTGACAGAGTAAGCTCATCTCCTCTGCCTCTGAATTCTAACATTTCCTGAGTTCATGATTAATTTTCCTGACAGCAGTCGGATGCTAAATAACACTGTGTGCACGTTAAACAACAGTCAGATGCTGTAGGGAACACCAATAAAGAATTAACAGGGACAAAAATAAGGGAAAAAACAGGGGAATTGTGCTAAATTCTATGGAAACTATAATTGGGATGTTAAATTGAATCTTTATGAAAATCCAGTAATGAGATCTCCTGTTGAAAAAGTCCTGTTTTCCTAATTTTGGTGGTCAGTCCCTCTAATTCTGTGATTATGAGAGACATTTGGGCCACACCCGGTGTCACTTTCAGCCGGCCTTTACCCCGCTGTGAGCCTCTGACTGCAAGAGAGAAAACATCTTGACACCCGCGCCCACGGTGAACCTCAAAGTGGACCGGTGGCATCATTCCGTGCATAATTCAGGAGCAGTGTTGGGGAGTAACGGATTACGTTACGTAATTTAATTACAAAAAAAAGAGCAACTGTAATTCTTTACAGTTACAATGAGAAAATATGTAATTGAGTTACAGTTACTTCCGAAAATATTAAGAATTACAAATTTAGTTACATTTTTTTAAAAATATAAAGAAAAACCTTTGCGGAAATATGCAACTCACTGATAGACGAAGCGTTTTGATTTACTAATATTTGACTGTTTGGTGTTGATGCATGACAAACGTTTATCGATGTCTATGACCTAGCCTAGCCTACCTAGCCTAGCCTAGCCTAGCCTAGCCTACCCAACTGTAGGGTGACCAGACGTCCTCTTTTTCCCGGACATGTCCTACATTTCAGACTAGGGTTTTCAAAAGTATCGATACTTAAAAAAGTATAGATACTAAAATGTTGTATCCGGATACGACTGACTTGTCTCCGATTTATTTATGTATTTATTTACGTTGTTTATGATCATTAATAAGACGTTAGCCTTGAACTGCTAGCTGCGGCTAATGGCTAATAATAACACGCTAAAATTAATCATGGGCCAATACTCATTAAAACCTTAAAGTAATCAAAAAGTAATCAAAAGTAATTAGTCACATTACTTTTTAAAAGTAATCGAAAAAGTTACACTACAATTACATTTTAAACAAGGTCACTTGTAACTGTAACGGATTACATTTTTAAAGTAGCTTACCCAACACTGTTCAGGAGTATTAATTAACTCTGAGTAGACATACTTCACCAATCGAGGGGGAGGGGCCTAACAGCAGCCGGCCGGGGGATTGAAAGATAGCTGGGGGAGTGTGGTTGGGAAGAGGAATGCCGGTGGTCTGTCAGATGGAGTGTAATGGAGAGGGAGGCTGAAGTCACTACTAGAATTAGCCACCCACCACTTCAACAGGTGGCCCTAAAAGTCGCCCCCGGCATATGGACAGGTCCAGGGAGCAGTTGCTGCTGATCTGAGGACGCAAAGGCTGTCCTCAACCAGCCAGAATCAAAACAACGAATGAAGAAGAATCAGAGGTTTAAATAAATTATCTAAGAAATTATTTTTCCCTATTAGACCTGAACAAATAAATAGATATGGTTCTATTTGTAAATTTGTAGTTCAACAATACAAAATAATATCTTTTTAATCTGATAGACATAATGCCAAAAGGTTCATCCTTGCAAATGCTTTTCGTTTCATGTTCTTTATATATTTTTTTTAGACCTTGGGTCTAAAAAACCCTTATTAAGAGGTCCTTAGTAAGGAAAGTGGATGCCTGTTGACCGATGAAAATAAGCACAAAAGACTGAATCAAAATAATGTAATGGGATTGAGCATCAAACTTTTGTGATTTAGAAACCTCTTCCTTAATGCTTTCTGTCTTCATCCTGTGCTGTAATTTTGTGTTTTATCCATCCATATACTGTTTTTATGCACCGTAATGCCTTTGTTCACACAACCTCCATTTATTGTGTGGATTATTGACTCATTCTTGCTGTTGTTTTCTCTGTTTTTACCTCAGATGTTTATTTTTAACACGGACACATGCTGTTTTTAAAGTCCAAATACAGACTGGATGACCAAGCCCATAAACCCTGAGTAAAATGCAGGGGGAACGTCTGGTCACATGTTCTGGGACCTGGGTGAAAACCATCCTCTTCCTCCTGAATTTAAGGTCAGACAGTCAGTCTGAGGCTTTTCCTCAGGATCCAGGAGTAAAGTTTCTCATGGAGGCCACATCATGTAATGCCCTGGTGATTGGAACATTCTCCTTTCTTTAAAATGGGGGCCAACACCAGTGTTTACTCCTGTCCCAAACATCCATGTGTCATCGAGGAAGCATATCAGCAAAAGACAGCACCTCCATGCCCAGATTGTTCAGTGTCTCAGGACCAAATTCAGCCAAAATGATTAAATGAAAATTAAAAATAATGTCTTCCCCCCCAAGTCCTCAGACTCTGCACACTCAATGGAACTGGATCTTTTCAGATTTAGTGTTCCAGCAACCTGTCCATTTGTGGAATTTGGTTAATGCTAATGGTGCAATCAGAGTGACCCTAGGCATGCCCAGTCCGAAAATTGTGGCATGTTCATTCATTCAGTCTCTCATCACCTAGATACATCGCCTCTTCTTGTCATATTCATATTTCTATACACTATTTTTAGTTTTGTGAATCCGTTTTGAAATCTTTTACATATCTTTTTGTATTTATAATTAATTCTTGTGGCGATATCCCTTCTTATGTACAATGTCTCTTATTTGTGGATCCATCTTTTTGCTATATTCGGTATTCAAGGAGAGGCCGAGGAGGGGGTACTCCATGAATGTGAGATACTCAAATTCACTCTTATGGTCAGTTTAGAGAGAACTTCCCCACACATACACAGGGAGAACAAACAAACTGGTGAACCACACCAATCTGCAGCCTCATCATCCCTGACTTGCACAAGTCAGAGTTCTGACTTTTGTCCAGAGCATAGAAAAAAAAAACATTTTTTGGGAGATTTCTGGGGTAAATTTCTGCAAAGAAAACCAGAACCCTCAGAAAAAAAACTCAGAATTTGGAGTTTTTCCAAAACAGATAGAAACAGAAACAGAAAAAACCACTATATATCAGGAAGATTTTTTTCTGAATTCTGACTGTTCGAGAACATGAATTTGCGGGAGTAAGTCCTCTGACATGGAACTTTATTTTTGGTGACTGACTGGTACTACTCAGATGACTGAGGCTGAGTGTGGACAGTAATAAGTCTATTTTGTTTCTAATTGACCCGGTGATGGACAGAAAGCCTATCCAGGGTGCAGCTGCCTTTCACCGCCGGGCATCTGGAAAACAACTGATTTCCCTCGGCAACACTGAGTGTGATGAAGTGGGTATAGAATATTTCTGGATAGATGAATTGAGGAAATGAGACATAAGACAGAATGAGAATGATATAAAACTATACTGAGCAAGTCATTAAAGTCAACATAAAACTGACGTGGTTAAAGTCTATCATAAAAGCGATAAAAATAACAAAATAACACAAAGACAGAGTCAGAAAAACATGACAAAAACACACTATTACACCACTCAAACTTAAAATCACTTTTTTTATAGTCCTCATTAGCAGCTTGAATCTATATTTAATCACCTCTTCTGATTTTAGTGGTTCCCTTCATTTTCCACAAATCCGAGTGTAAATGTTCAGTAATGTGATTAAAATGTCAAACAGAGCATTCCAAGCATCCTAGTAAAAATGGCTAAAGCTTCTTATTTCCATACAGGCTCTAAACAGTGAACACAGACAGGAGTGTGACCTGTTAGGTATCGATGAATACCGAAAAGGTTCAGTGTGTCTAAGCTAAAAGGCTTTTGCTCAGATACTGCTGTGATTGAGTTAAGGATGCTTAAATTATAATGAGGAGAGAGACATCAGTAATTTTGAAGTGACTCACACAGGGTTGCACCATCCTCTGTGCGAATCGTCAAAATAAAAGAGTGTAACAAATTTCAACGTGAACTTCCATCCAGTTGACAGATTGACTGAAAGATACCTATTTTCCCCTCCCTACCGTGCGTATAGTACCAGTTATATGTGGACTGCACGATGAACAAAGTCATCAGATATTCCCGGGTGTAACAAAGTATTTTTTCCCTTTCCATGAATTTATTCATTCTTACAATCCCCTGTGAGATTCAGGAACATATTTTATTGATTGCTCAATAGCTATGTGTGGACAGTTCTTCAAGCGTTTTTGCACCTTCTCCGGGATCACTGCACTTTTTCAGTGACAGTTCCTTTCCCTTTCTCCACTTTATGTAAAAGGAGAAGTCAGAAGAGATGAGCTAAAACACTCAATTTGCCGGATTGTAATGCTGAGTAGTCCTGAAGCAAAAATAAAAATTGAAGGTAGACGTTGTTTTCAACTAGGCCTTCTCTCAATATAAAAAAAAGTAACCCGGGTTTTTTCACCATTCTGCAGAGCAGGAAATGAAACTGTCTCTGAGGAACACTAAACTGCACTCCAGTGCATGCACCACATTACAGATTCAAAGCATTATTCAATAGAGAGAAAGGCTATTAACTCTACAGCTTTCTGGGATGTGTTCCAGGTCATATCAGAATTCTGGGATGGTTAAATCCCCATAAGAGTTCCTGAGATGGGGCTGACGCTCTCCGCCCGTCTAGCAGACCAGGATACAGGCGTAATGACTTTAGGCACGGCGGTCCTGTTTGGACGCTTGTTTGTCAAACAGCACATTCGCGGGATGTTTGACTGATAAAACTGGCAGGAATTCCTGCGGAGCTGAGCTTGATTAACTGCTGTGGAGGCTTCACGTTGATGCCCATTGTTTGGTTCTGCTGGCTGGCACACGATTTGTCAGGATTGCTAGAAAAAAAATATGCAAAGAGAGTGAAAGTGGTTTCAGGGGCCTCTCTGAAACAGCAAATAACAAAAATCATACCTAAGTATATTTTGAAAAGACCAGATATTTAAATCATGGAATTAAAGCATCATATGTGTTTTAAGGTACTCCAATTAAACAACAAATACAAATGAAAAAGTAGTAGAGACACACTGATTATGATTAAGACCAAAATTCTGGACACAAAACAGTTTGATTAAGTTTCTCCTTCACACATGACCTACATCTGCTGACATCTGCCTTTTAAAGGTTTTTTCCTAGTCCATATTTTCAAGGAGAAAAATGAGAGACAACGCCAGGACACAATTCCATTGGGACATTGAGTAATCTTTCAGTAAGTCTGTTGGTGGCTGTCTTCCTCTGACTATGATTCCTTTAAAGTTATTGTTGTCAGTGGAGAATATATAGAGAAACCTGCCGTTATTCCACATGCATTTACCTCTTTTTTTTTGTTAAAGTACAGGCTTGGCAGATATAATTTTTCTCTTTGAGAAGAAATACGTTTAGAGTCCAAGTCGTGATTACGAGCATCAAAACAAGAATTCATATTAAATCTGCTACCCACGAGCAGCACAGATGGCCACCAGATAAATACGACTATCAAAGAGCTGACACGGGGGCATTATGGGACCTCCACTCTCACCGGAGTGAAGTCAGACAACGCTTTACAGCTCACACTTTCCCTCCCGGCTGAAGGCAAGTCCTGCAGAAAGGTGTTAATTGTGTGGATGTGTTTAATCCCAGGCTCCATCTGGCACATAGTTGGCACAGAGATTAGCCCGCAGCCACCAGGTGACGGCCTGTAAAACCGACATCCCAATGAAAGACCGGGCCCTGAGGTCCACGGAAAAGGCGGAAAAGGGCCACCCCCCCCCCCCACCTTTAGCTGTTTACGTACAGGGCATGACAAACAGAAAGTGAAGGGTTCCCTCACCTTATGTCGGCTCACTTTTTGAAGTCTCATTTTATTTTGAATTTTTAAAATGAATGTATTTACCTAAATTTGTGTTGCTGGTTTTTATCTATATTGTAGGATGGATTTTGTGGTATATATATATATATATTTTTTTTTTTTTTTTTTTTTTTACCTTGTCTTGTTCAGCATTATGGCAGCAGAACTCAAATCTGAGTACTGTGCTATGCTGAATAAAATAGCTTTGTTAGTGAGAAGCCCCCCTTGATTACCCAAAACTGCTTTATTTATTCATTTTTGTTACCAAACTTCCATGAGTCCAATATAGCCGAACCTGACAGAAGGACAGGGGGGAGGGAAGAGTAATGGAAAGGAGAGAGATCCTTTAGAAACAGAGAGAGGGGGGAGAAAAACAAATAAAAAAGAAAAAGAAATAAAGACATTTTGTGGTATATAGGTATCTGTTTGTATTTAAGATTTTTGCTGTAAAAAAAAAGGCATTTTCTAGCCTAAAAAATAAACATATATAGATATAAAACCTGGATCCCAACCCCCATGATAAATGAGGGCCCACTGTAAACTGCCTGTGGATTCCATGTTCATTCCATCTTTGAATTACATTATTACATTATTTAATAATAGCCATGTTGGTTATAAACATGGTTATTATAGATACATAGCTTATGGCCTGAGCAGGAATCACCTAAAGTAGTGACCACAGCTTTACTCTTAAGGGATCTAAACCACAGACCCACACACGTGAACGCATGTGTGAGTAAAAATCACACAATCCCATTAATCTCACAAAGACTTTATTACATGCTCTGTGTCCCGTCCATCCATTTTCTGACCCGCTTATATCCAACGGGGTCTCGGGGGGGCTGGAGTCTATCCCAGTTAACAATGGTGGAGAGGCGGGTCCACCCCGGACAGGTCAGCAGTCCATCACAGGAACACACAGAGACACACAACCACACGCCCACGTTCAATCCTGGGGGAAATTAAGAGTGTCCGGTTAAGATAACATGCAGGTTTTTGGACAGTGGGAGGAAGGAAAAGGACTCAGAGAGAACCCACAGACACAGGAGAACATGCAGACCCCACACAGACAGGTCCTGGTTCCTCTGGGGACTCCAACCCAGAACCCTCTGGTCCTGGTTCCCCCGGGGACTCCAACCCAGAACCCTCTGGTCCTGGTTCTCCCGGGTACTCCAACCCAGAACCCTCTGGTCCTGGTTCCCCCGGGGACTCCAACCTAGAACCCTTTGGTCCTGGTTTCCCCAGGGACTCCAACCCAGAACCCTCTGGTCCTGGTTCCCCCGGGTACTCCAACCCAGAACCCTCTGGTCCTGGTTCCCCCTGGACTCAAACCCAGAACCCTCTGGTCCTGGTTCCTCTGGGGACTCAAACCCAGAACCCTCTGGTCCTGGTTCCCCCGGGGACTCCAACCCAGAACCCTCAGGCAGAAAGGTCCTGGTTCCGCCGGGACTCCAGCCCAGAACCCTCTGGTCCTAATTCCCCTGGGACTCCTACCCAGAACCCTCTGGTTCCCCCGGGACTCCAACCCAGAACCCTCTGGTCCTGGTTCCCCCGGGGACTCCAACCTAGAACCCTCTGGTCCTGGTTCCCCCGGGGACTCCAACCTAGAACCCTCTGGTCCTGGTTTCCCTGGGGACTCCTACCCAGAACCCTCTGGTCCTGGTTCCCCCGGGGATTTGAACCCAGAACCCTCTGGCTGTGAGGCCATTGTAATAACCACCACATCAACATCACATTATCGATAAAAACCTGGCCACCAGCACCCTCACCAGCCATTACGACTGCTATACCCACATCCTGTTTCCACTAAATGACAGAACTTTGATATTTGACAGTTCAACAAAACAACAAAAAAACTAAAAATCAATACAGCATGACTTTGAAATCCAGTAAACAACAGATCCTCAAGGCCATTTTTTTGTTGCCTCGCCTGAGCCAAAATGAATAAATAAATAAGAAAAAACATCTGATCCTGATTCTGTCTCAGAGAAATGGAAGATCATACGAACAAAATATCATTACACATTGCAGGAATGATTCAGCATTGTGTCCAACCACCTCTGTCAGCAACAGCCTCAAAAGTATTCCAAATTCTGGTTTGTATTATCGGTCACAAGATTTGTCATGATGGAAGTTCAAGTCACTTATTTCATTTCTGGTTCCAGCCAATTGAGTTTAGTTCACCCTCAGTGCTCGGATGGCTACAAGTAGTCTGAAATTAAAAGAACAATTCCAAAAAGAAAGGTTAGTAACGTGTGTGAAGTGTAAAAACACACAATGGGATGAAGTGAAAATCCCATTAATCCATATTATAGTCGCGACACATACATCTAATCGTGGAATAATTTGTAATGATTATGTTGTATGTTGCAGACTGTGTAAAGGCAGTCTGTGTTCATTTTCACGTCCAAATAATTCATATTTTTTATAGATTCTGATAGGACAGGTTACGAACTCCCAGCTGTCTTGAAGATGCCTGCGTAAAAACAACGGTTCAAAGTCTTTCTTACTAATGGGGTTCTGTTGTCAGTTTCAGATCCTCCAGAGGAAGAGTGAGCAGGGAAAATACTGTAACACCCACGGGGAACTTATTGTGTGCTTCTGGTTGTTTTGTTCCCATCTGTGACTAGCTAGGATAGAGGCACAAAGTCAAACCTTTGCCGGTCTTAGTTGGATTTTTGACCACTGACAGAATAGCTTAACTAACTCATCGGTGACAATTACTCGTTGGTTCCCTTTCCTGAAAGCATTCCTTCTCTGAAAGATATAACTTGGGGTTAAAATCTCAGATTACCACTGGACCACCTCCCACATGCCACTGGTTGGCTGAATAGCTTCCAAACCAAACTCACCATGACACTCACTTTCTGCCCATCCCTCACTGTGTCAGAAGGGCGGGGGGGGTCGTGTGACATCAGCCCAATTGTCACATCCGTCAGAGGGGATGTTCATCAGTCAATCCGTCAATGGCGCGCTCATCAATAAGGCTGATGGCAGCAGGCCTCCGCAGGCTGGACCGGTCCTCCCGGAGCTTTCCCCCGGACACGGAGATGCTCAGAAGATAGTCTGACAGCACAGTGAGTGGTAAATACTGTCAATAGCTCACATTTTCACTATTCCATTTAAGGTTTTTTTAAAAAGCCCTCTGGCAGGAGCCCTGGTTCACACACACAGGATGCAACTTTTTTTGCTTACCTGGGATTTGAAGCAACGTTTTTTTTTATTTATATTTATTGTTGCATGCAAACATGGTCTTAAATAAACATTGTCACATTTTTCTTCAAAGATACTGAGATTGTTCATTTGTACATTCGGATCTATATAGATTGTATTTTTCAGTTTTATCATTTCTCTCCTTTATTTTTATTTCTACATTTTATTTCTTGCTTCTCATAGAAGTGTTGTGCTGTGCACCAAAAACTTACTTGGCAATAAACCTTATTGTGATTCCGATTCTGATTCTGATTCTTATTAGGCATATGTGTTTATTCACTTTAGAAAGCATTGCCACTTATTGACTAATGCTGTATATTCACTCAAGTTTACTCACTGCAAATGTCAGCGTGGGCTGTGTCTAAATGTAGAAATATTCAAGTTGCAGAGAATGTCATGCTTTTTGGATGCCTTTTCAAACTAGGTTCAATAGTGATCCAGAACTCTCATCATATGAAAGGAAGAATAAACAGGTTATTAAATACAGTAACAAAAAACTGAGGGAAGCAATCTTGTCCTTCTGCAGTGAAGCCCAGGACACATGGACTTGTGTGAAATTAGAAAATCTAAAAATAGATCATTATGTTTTCCACTGAATGAACGAGCTTGTCCAGCTCAGAAAAAGTATTCCCTCATTATATGTGAGGTGTGAAGATCCGATACACATTGTATACTGTTGTAAGACTGCTAATGTGCATTTCATTTGTAGAGTTAGAGTCATTTGTGTCTTGTTGTTGTGGCCTTTCGGATTTTCCTGTCCGGGGTCAGCCTGGACTGGCGTGGCAGGTTTGGCGGGAATCTTTGAGCCAGATGCTCACCCTGACCCATCCCTCACACTTATCTGTGCCTGGGACTGGCACAGACTGGACATTGAACGCCACATCCCATTTGTGGCTCCATGTCTAGCCCAAATATACACCTCAACATGTAGCCTGGGATTGAACCACGAGCCCGTTTGGAGGGAACTGCACCTAGCCCTGATACTCAGATACTGTAAGTAAGTCAGAAACCCAACATGTCCGTTCAGTGCCTACTTTCAAGTCATTTGGGAGGCTTATTCCTGTTTATAAGACAATACCTCTCTTTTACATTACAAAAACAAAACTGGAAATCCAGCGGCTAAAGTTGAAACCTATGCTTGGAGGAAGGGTTTCCCTGTCTATCAGATCTAAATCTATCCCCGTTGTCCCCCCCCTCTACAGAGAGGTGCCAGGACTGTGCCTCTTATTCAAATCGAGTCACGAATCTCAGTGGGAGTCCCTCTGAGGACAAAGGCAAGGGGCCCTGGACCATGAAAAGAGATTTCCATTTCACAGATTTGAATTCTGAGCAGCCGCCACTACGGTTTTCAGCTAAACGGATGAAGTGTTTGTTTACTTACTTGTTTCAATACTGATTAAAATAATAATAAGCTCTGAGACGACGAGGAGGCATTACAGTGGCTTTGCCTTTCA